CAATCACTTTTATTATTGATTTTGAATACTAATGAATACGTATGAATTGCATGGCTGATACTAAATAATAGAAAACAATATATGACAAGCGAATTCTCTAGTTGGTTATCAGTAATAGATTATAATGGATAGTTTATCATTATTATACTTATTTTGTATCATTGTTTGTGATCAAACGCATGCTGACTTATTTAGGTAAGATTTTCTTATTAACAGCGATCAGCTAAGAACGCTATACATCAAGATCATTTGTCTGCACCATTGATCCTGCAGCAACAACTTTCGAATAGTCTCTCAGAACTCAAATCGGGACCCGTTCTTCTAGAATATGTTTATGAAAACAAAAGAAGACTTGTGCCATTTCAGGATATCACTGAAGCCTGGAGCCAACAAATTACCCCAAGTAGAGCAACAATCAATATCATCAGTAGTTCAGCTAAATAGTGAATCAGTTACCGTTCCTTTAACAAATTATTTCGATGTAAGTTCTAATACCTTAGATTTCTTCTATTTTTACTTTTAACTTATGTTTCAGACATACTGGTATGGCACAATTGGTATCGGAACTCCTCCTCAATATTTCGATGTTGATTTTGATACCGGTTCATCTGATTTGTGGGTGCCATCTATAGCTTGTGTCTCCTCGGCATGTAGTAAGTTTACTGATCTTATATAATATCGTGCATACAATTCATTAATTAATATTTAAGAAAGTCTAACGAGATATCGTAGTTCAGCTTCAAGCACGGCAGTTTTGACAGGAGTACCATTTAGCATATTATATGGTGATGGAACAACTGTTGCTGGAAATTTTGTCATTGATCGTATCACTGTAAGGCATATTAAATATTTTGATAATTTGGTATAATTATTTTTCTGTAGATTGGTTCTGCCGAAATAGTAAATCAAACATTTGCTCAAGCAACAACGATTTCATCGAGTAATTCGATCACCAGCATCATGGGTTTGGGTTATCGATCGATTACGAGTGGTACAGAGGCACCCGTATTTTACAATATGATCTCTCAAAAGCTGGTGTCAGCACCTGTTTTTAGCGTTTGGCTCGATCCCGTAGAAACCGATGAACGCCAAGGTGAGCTACTATTCGGTGGTTCGGATCCAAATTATTATGTGGGAGATTTTACCTATGTGAGTGTCACTACACAGGGTTATTGGCAGTTTCAAATGGACGGGTATGTAAATGTGAATTGAAAAAGAATTTTTATAACAGAAGAATCTAATGGTTATTTTCAGTATATTTATTAATGATCAAAGTATTTGCACTTCGTGTCAGGCCATTGCTGATACTGGTACCACACTTATTTATGGTCCATCATCTGCTATCAAAACTATCAATCGTCTGTTGGGTGCTACTTCTTATCAGGGTTATGTAAGTGTTATTCAGTATTGTATTCGACACCCATATCTGTTGCATAAAACCGCTTGCTCAATAGTCAGGAAAAGAGGAGATGAAGTTTTATGCAGAAATTATTCTCTATGATCTAATTGTGAATGACATCATCAGTTGGAAGAACGGAAAAATTTAATTAGAGTGCCATACTATTCAATTGTTACCATCAAAGTAAAAAATTAAATTAAGTTAAACTTTTCAAACTGAAAAACTAACGGGCTATTTCGCTTCATATCAAACGTAATTGAAATTTTTGTCAATGTTCATCATCTTGGGGATGTGTGTTATGCGTTATCGATACACATATAAATGTATAACTTAAATTTCTGAGTTCCGTCATATTGTTGAGAATTATGTAGAAAAAATTAAATTACGGCAATTTTAATTTTCTTATGATGCCGACAAATGCTTAAAAGTTTAACCCAAGATAATTAAATCATCATTACAGAAGTATATTTCTTAAATTATTTTATGATTTTTCTTCTCAAATTATTTGGCTCTTAATATTGAAAGGTTTTCAGTATTTTTCCGAAATTTTAACCAGGTTATGTGTTTTCTTAATATTCCAATGGAACATCACGTAAGAGATCCTTTAGTTTTTCAAAGAAGCGACCATCGAAAGTAAAACAGATTTTTCATTGTTACATGCTCCGTTACAGGGCTGGGCAACTCCAACTCCGGAGTTGGAGTTAACTCTGGAGTTGAGGATTTTTTTGTTGGAGTTGGAGTTGGAGTCGGAGTTGACTTTGGCGGAGTTGGAGTTAGAGTTGGAGTTGAGATTTTAGTAGGTTGGAGTTGGGTTTTTGAATATTTATTCTCAACTCCGTTTTGCATTTTTAAAAACATTGAATAGTTGTAAACTAGTCTTCTAAACGACTGAGTGGCTGTATTCACGAGTGAATTCGGAAGTTCTTTACGCTTTCTTGCCGGAAAAAGCTCAAAAGCGTCCAGAATCCTGCTAAAAATCGAAAAATCTTCCGTACAAAAGTGAAGCAACCGGACGGCTTGTTTGTCCAAGCCTGACGCTGTAACATTTTTGACACAGTAATATGAGCTTTTCTCAAAAAGTGTAACAGCTAGAAACTTCGTTCTTGCGCCATACTCTACTTTTGGTATAAAGATGAAGGTATGTGGTTAAAGACTCGAATTTTTAGAACCGTTTTTCGGCGCGTGACGCTGTGACAAAAAAAGACCCTAAATTCTAAGCGTTTCTCATTAAAAACTTATTTGCTGCGAATTTAGAAGAGCTAATAAAAGCGCCTGGAGCAAAATTTGTAGAGGAGTAAACGAGCTACTAATTGCTAAAAAGTAATCTTTCGAAAGAGTTTTTCATTACTCAATAAGTGTGTTTTATCGTCGTGACGCTGTGACAATCATTTTTCCCAACAAAGTTTGGAGCACTAACCATTGCTCAAAGGATTTCATTTTCACATCGAACTTAGTTTTAGGCATCTGATATAGACTAAGGTGAAAATGAAGTCGAAAAAATGTTTTCACTTTCTTAGAATTGTGTGAGAATCTTAAAATTTTATTAAAAACTTGTTTTGAATCTAAACTTCAAAAGAAACATACCATCATGTAAAGAATCGAATTCTCCGTCGATTAGTATGGTCTTCCATTTTTATTAGGAAAAGTGTCTAGGTGAGGAAATTGAAAATACAGTTTTCAAAAAATGTAAAACTGGATTTTTCGTGCCAAAATTTAACTTTTTTAAAAAACTAATGTGAGATTCATAATCAGCGCTAGAAACTGCATCTAGTGATATGCTCCTCTCAGTTCTACTCTAAAATAATTTTTTCAAAAACTTGATCAGCGAAGTCTCGAGTGGACAAGCCGCGGAGTTGAACTGGAGTTGAGATTTTTGTTGAGAGAGTTGGAGTTGGAGTTGAAAAATTTTGAGTGGAGTTAGAGTAGGAAATTTGAAAACGGAGTTGAGTTGGAGTGGAGTTGGAGTTGAAAGTCAGCGGAGTTGCCCAGCCCTGCTCCGTTAAACTTTCCTTTTGTAGTCATTTTAGTCTACTGATCGGTCAAAAAATATGAAAGAATTTTACATTTTCATCTGTTGGACGGTTTGCTCTGACAAAGTTTTGTTTTAGTATCAAATATCGTGTGACAAGACAAATTTACCTGCGGTCACATTTACGATTGGTGGTACTAAATTCTCAATTACTAACTCTCAATATTTGTTTCCGTTGGACGGTTCGACCTGTATCACCGCTTTCGTAGCCCAAAGTGGCAATTTGTGGACACTGGGTGACACATTTCTCACACGTATTTACACGGAATTTGACATGGGAAATAATCGAATAGGTTTTGCAAAATCATTAGCTTATAGCCAAGATAGTACCGTCAGCTCGTCAAGCACCAGCAAGTCGACTACTCGCTCACAATCAACATCGACAACGCAAAAAATAACGACGGTCAATACATCAATTAAAACACAAACGACGACAGGAGTGAATTTGACTAAAACGACAACGATCAATTCAACTGCGACACGTCACACAACGGTTCAATCCACAGGTAAAGATCAAGAAAACTTCTAACCTAATACTAAAATATTTTACCTTCAAGTTGCCACCTGTTTCTCCGGTGATAGCTTCGTCAATATGTTTGATGGTTCGTATAAAACTTTTAGTCAACTACAGTCGGGTGATATTGTGATGGCAATGAATTCTGATAACACTAAGATAGAACCGGCTGAAGTTATGATAATGTTTGATATAGAGCCAAATAAAGAAGGTGCGTTTCTATTTATATTTTAATATCCTTTATTACTGATTTTGTTTGTTCAGCCGAATTTTTCACGATTCAGACAGAGACAAACCAGAAAATAAGTTTGACTAGTAGTCATTTGATTGCAATCAAGTCAGCAGTAGATGATAATACAAAGTATATACTGGCAAAAGACGTAAAACTGGATGATTTACTATTTACTTACAATAACGGCATGTTACAAGCTTCGCTAGTTAAAAATATTACAATTGAAAGAAAAATGGGCTATTTCGCACCAATGACAACAAGCGGTAACATTTCTCATATAGATACGAAATTATTCTCCAGAAAACAGAATGTATTGATTGTCTCTTGGATAAGTTCTGGTAGAAACAATTTATTTTTTGATGCAATAACAGACTAACGAAGGAACATATCCGAGTGTGATTTCCACTTTTCCTTGATACATACCTGGTTATGTCCAAGCAAATATCATCTGTGAGAAAAATCTAGATACATTTCGTCTGTAATCGGACGATACACGACTAGTTGTCATCTAGATTACTAGTTGGAAAAGGGACTTTTAACTAGATGAGTCTGCAGACACATCTAGCAATAGTTAAATCGATCGATTATCGGGCGATAAATCGATAGTTACAACTAAAAAAAATCTAGTAATCGCCCAATTACTAGATTTCTACTGTCGTTACACAGTAGTTGCAATCTTAATTAGTAATCTAGATGAATCGGGTGATATTAGATTTTTTTTGATGCTTGGGATGGGTAATTTTTTATGCTGGTCACGAAACTGCTATCCGTTGCTCCCACAATTACTTACCAGGATGGATCTCTGAAGTCCGGATCTCCAGAGATTCATTACGAACTTTAAAATAAATCACCTCTGATACTGCCACATTGTACAGTATATCAAGTTACCTGTGCTTGCAAATTTTTACACTTAAAGAGTGAGTTCTCACTTAGATATAAAAATTTTACTCTTTATTTCCTCAAAAATACTCAATATTTCGTAACGCGCGCGTAATTCGAGTTTCAAGCACTAGTTTTTTCAATAATGAATCTCTGGAGATCCAGACTTCAGAGACCCATCCTAGAAAGTAATTGTGAGAGCAACGGATATCAGATTCGTGATCAATATAAAAAGTTACCCATAACCAGCTATATTTCAAGAAAACGTGGAAATCACACTTGAATATGGTCCTTCGTAAGTTTCAAAATCTTGGCAAACTAATGGTGAGAATAACAGGTCTCTATCGGTTTTTTTTGTCGGAAAATATTCAAATGATCCACAAAGCGCATGCTATTTTGAAATGAATAATAACATTTTTTACAGGAACATTGTTGATCAATGATATTGGAGCATCGTGTTACGGCAACGTATTTAATCATAATTTGGCTCATACATTACTGACACCGTTGCGATGGTACTATTATTTGACAAAGAGATTGTTTTCAATGAAAGAACCGTTTGAAATAAATATACGAGGTATACACTGGCTACCAAAAGGGATGTTTCACTTAGCTCAAATGTATTTACCGAGTCACATCGTAGATTAATATATGGGAAATATTTGAAACTTCTTACGGAATGAGTGATTGAGCGAATAATTACAAAATTTTTCCTTCACCTGTTCGCAAACCAGAATCAAACCAACTTTTACAAAATAATCAATGTTTTTCTCCAGCTCAGTTTTTTAATTTAATTTTTCAGTTAGTTACGAAATTGTTTATTTATAAGCAAAAAGTTATAAAATTATATTTCATTAATAAATAAATATTCAGGAATTAGAAAAAAAAATATGTAATTGTCAGATTGTCAGTAAAGACAAGCGCATGAGACATGTATGATTCATATATGATATGAAGTAAAAATGATCATATTATGATCCTAAAATGATTTAAATCTGAGCTTAAAATGACATCATATTTGAGTCATTTTAAGACCATTTCATAAAATGTGATAAAAATGATGTATATATAATATAATTTGTAAAAATGATCTAAATATGATCCTATTATGGCAAGAGAGAAACAGCGTACTTTTGTACTTGAAGTTAATTTGGCTACTTTCAACTACTTCTAGCCACTTCCAGCTACTTTACGCTACTTCAACTTACTTTAACTACTTCGAGCTACTTTTGTACCTTGCACTACTTTGTACTTGAAATTACTTCTAGATACTTTGAGCTACGTTGAGCTACTTTGAACTTACTTTGAAGTACTTTGAACTACTTTTGTGTTTGAGCTACTTTGAACTATTTCGTACTTTGAGCTACTTTGTGCTACTTTGTGCCACTTTCTACTACTTCTACATACTATGAGCTGCTTTTATATACTTCAAACTACTTTTGTACTTTAGTTTAAACTTTATTATTCAAGAGAGAAATAAGAATGGTCACTTTACACAGATGCGGCCTAGACCATTATATCAGAGGAAAATGACATGGTAAATGTTATAAGCTATTACATGTAAACAGCAAGAAAAAATAAAAATAGGAGGGAAAAAAGGGAAAAAAAATGTAAGGATGAACAACAAGAAGAATAAAATGATGCACACTAAAACTTTGAGGCACTGCACGCTAAGCGAAAGCGCAGAAACAGTGTAGAGATCACCACAAATTTGGATGGTTAGCTTAAAAATTTAAAACGTTTTGTAGCAATTATGTAGTCTACCACTGATCTGGCTACAAGTCCGTAAGAGTCCTTCTCAAGAGATACATTA